CCAAGCCAGTATAGCCTCTAATTAGGGATGGTGGTTGTTACAGTCCAAAGCATCTGGAAGACCCCTGGCTGGAGGAAAGCGCTGCAGAGTGCTTAGCAAAACACGCAATATTTTTGCATACAGAGATGTGAAAAAACCAGAGAAATAAACCCATGAAGTAGATGGACATAGCAGGCAGTTATGTTTACATAGTCCATGATCTGGGTCGAAACTACTTCCATCTGCCTAGGCATCTAAGCATGAAAGCTATTGCTCTCTTCCACTTTTTTCACCACAAACAAGCCAAACAATTATTTACAAACATTTCTGGCATGTTGGTTGACTCACATTGCTTCCAGAACAGCTCGGATCGTCTGGGAGAATATGGGAGGAGGAGGAGGAAGGGATTTTCCTGAACTTTTGATTCGGGGGTAAAAATTAAAACAGAAATAAGGCAGATATGCTAGAAGGTGAACCAGCAGACTCCATTCCTTAAGAAAAATCAGGATGTACAAAGGAGCTGCGAATTTTGGAGGAAGCCCAATTACTGCAGGTTTTCAGGGGCCTGTTTCAGGAAAGGCAAACACATTTTGCTGCAAATAATTGAAAGGCGGGAGGGGGGAGAGAAGAGAATCAGTTTTGTGCTTCAAGCTCCATTCCATGCCCATTGCCCGGGTCAGTTCAGCCAATTCCAATTCCAGTTGCCGCGAGGCATAGATTAAGGCTATGTTGAAGGAAGGAGGATGGGGGGGGCAGACAGCTTCTCGAATGTGACACACGCACAGAAGAGAGCCCCCCCCCCACTTGTTACGATCAGCGCATCCCTGTTGAGTCTCAGATCCATAATCCTCTATCAATCAGCTGTCCATTTACGGAAATGGATAGGTACGGCGTTAGAGTCATCTCTGATGCCGAAAGCTCATTGCCATTCCCAGCTGTCAGAAAGTGGGACTTGGAATATGCACAAGTAATAAGACGCAAGAGAAGAAATGGAAAGTGCTTCAGAATGCCAAGAAGGCAGCGTTCTTTCCTTCTCTCCCCTGCCACCTTCTGCCAATCACATTTTCCCCAAACGTGTTGAAGCAAAACGAGCGCTTGGCACAACCGTGAAGCCCTTATTACAACCATAAGTTTGGGATCAGCAACAGGAAGCCTCCGGTGGCCTGGGACCTCACAGAGGCCTGGGCGAGGGGGGATCTGGTTGAAAGCAATGCACCTCCTAGCAAATGCCCTTCGCGCAGAAGATGTATAGGAAGCCGTGCCCAGAAGACCGGGGACTGCGCAGGGAACAACATCTGCCAATATGATTGTACGCACAATAAACACCAAGTCAGCTACTGATTGTTGGAATCACAGCTGCGGGACGGGCTGCCCAACCTCTGTGAACTGCTATGATTTAGAACTTGCTCCGATAAATTTATTGTACTTGTTTGCTTACAATGCTGGATTGGTTTGCTGTTACTATATTTTCTGCATGTTCTCAGTATTGCAGGGAAGTGTAAAGACTCGTTTGCATCTTTGCGTACTGGGTTGTTTGTTTTTTGGTTGTTATTGTTGGGTTTGTTTTGAAAACAGCACAAAGTTACCAGCTAGTAGACAGAAGCCTGTAAGTCCGACTGCCCAGATTTAAGGCAAGATGTGAAACTGCTTTCGGCCCAAGAGCTGAATTCCCTTCTGAGAGGCACTGGGGGCTGCATTCCAGGAGGCAGCGGGGCTGGAGGCAGGGTGCAAAATGCAAAGCAGGCCAGCCTGTTTTAATTTAAAGCCCCTCCTGCTAGGAGAGGCATCGCAGGCTTTCAGAATCATGGGCTAGAGGGAGAGGTACAAAAGATGGGAAATGACCTTTTGCGGGGGAAAGAGCAATTGGGTCCCAGGCCCGAGGTTCTGCACGCCTGATTTAAGGTAAGGTGATACTTCCGCTTTCAAAAGACCAGCAAATTCAGAGCAGCCCACTTTGGCAACTGTGAAGCTGTGCCCCAGCCTGGCCAGAGAAGAGCTCGCTTCACTTCCACCTGGAAACGCTAAGGCCTGACTGGGCGCATTTATAGAAGCGAAGCTACGGAGCACACCATCACCTCGCAACTCTCCTGAGCAGCCCAGCGGGAAAACGCCTTGCAGCTGGAGTGTAGAGAGTGAGCTGAGGCTTGTTACTTCATGCTTTCTACACCAGGACAAGGCCAGGCAACCTGTGCCCCCTTGGGTGTTCTGCCCCACAACTCCCATCAGCCACAGCCTGCATAGCCCATGGGGAGGGATGAAGGGAGTTGTGGGCCAGAACACCTCAAGGGCCGCAGGCCACCCATCCCATCAATTGTGGAAACAGTACTGAATTAAACGAGCAGAATATTTTCTCTCGTGGCATACGCGCTAGTTAATTAACCCTTACAGCAAGCCACACGGAACATCGCTGCAGCCTGGCAACATCCAGAGGGCAATGTCGTCTCTATCGCTGCTCTAGCCTTTTTGCTGATTAGGAAACAGGGGGAGCTGCGCAAGCATTCTGCCAAGTTGCACAGCAGAAAAGACCCACACTCCCCTCTGTGGGTCTTCCCAGTGTTTTCCCATGAAGCTTCCAATAGGAGCACTCATCTTTTCCCATAGGCATTATTAAAGAATTAAGTAACCCTACATCTTAGGACTACAAGTCTACAAAGCTGAGAAACCCAGGACAGCAACAATCCCCTCCTGTGGCCAGGCGGCCATGGTATCCTTCTGGATAGACTTGCAGGATTGGGGGTTGGAGGCACTGCTTTGCAGTGGTTCCGCTCCTATCTCGACGGTCGATTCCAGAAGGTAGTGCTGGGGGACCATGTCTCTACGTCATGGCAGCTATGCCATGGGGTACCACAGGGCTCCATTCTATCCCCTCTGCTATTTAACATCTATATGAAACCGCTGGGAGAGGTCATCAGGAGGTGTGGGCTGCGGAATCATCAATACGCTGATGATACCCAGCTTTACCTCTCATTCTCCACTAATCCAGGTGAGGCAGTGGCTGTGCTGAACCGGTGCTTGGCCGAGGTAAGGGAATGGATGAGGGCCAATAAACTGAAACTCAACCCAGACAAGACGGAGGTCCTGTTGGTTGGCGGATCGGGTTTCGGAGAGGGTGGATTTGACCTGGTCCTGAATGGTGCAACACTCCCTCTTAGGGATAAGGTCCGCAGCTTAGGAGTACTCCTCGACCCGGAGCTTTCTTTGGAAGCTCAGGTGACAGCGGTAGTGAGGAACGCCTTCCTTCAGCTTCGGCTGATTAATCAGCTGCGCCCCTACCTGGAATACGACTGCCTGGCGATGGTGACACACGCGCTGGTGACTTCCCTCCTAGACTTCTGTAATGCGCTTTACGTGGGGCTTCCCCTGAAGACAGTCCGAACACTTCAATTGGTGCAAAAGAGAGCTGCCAGGTTGCTGACGGGGACGGGGCGTTATGCTCACATGACTCCAGTCCTCCATCAGCTTCACTGGCTTCCCATTGAAGCCCGGGCCCAATTCAAGGTGTTGATTATGACCTACAAAGCCCTAAACGGCTTGGGTCCTGGCTACCTGAACGAGCGCTTACGTCCGTATATGCCCGACCGCCCTTTGAGATCTGCGGGAGAGTCCCTTCTCCGGGAACCCTCCATGAAAGAAATTAGGAGAGTAAGTACCCGGAGGAGGGCTTTCTCTGCGGTGGCGCCCAACCTATGGAATTCACTCCCCAAAGAGGTCCGCCTGGCACCGTCGTTACTGGTTTTTCGGCGCCAGGTAAAGACCTTTTTATTTAAACATCATTTCAATTGTTAAAACATATGATCTGGCCAGGGCAACTTCTTCTTCCTTCTCTTTCTCCTCCTATATTTTTATTTTATACTGATAATTTTAATTTTGTATTTGTAAATCAATGTATTTTTTGTATTTTTATATTTAATGGTAATTTATTATGTACTATTGTATTTCAATGTATTTTATCATGTTGTAAGCCGCCCCGAGGTTTCGGCAAGGGGCGGCATAGAAATGTTATAATAATAATAACAACAACAACAACCACCACCACCACCACCTTGGACAATCTTGAAATCACAACAGGCAAAACCAACACATTTATGATTCATGGGTTTTTTCCCCCTGGCTCAAGCTGAACTTGTATAAAGACAGGAGGACAGCAGAGAAACGAGCACCACAGTCTGGCTAACACCAAAGTCCCCGCAATGGGCTGAACAGCGGTAACATGCCGAACCAGCCCCATACTGTGTTAGGCGCACCCAAAGCACAGAGGAGCAACTGGTGGCCTTCCAGCCGTTTTGGTATATGATTTCCATCTACTCTAGGCAGCACCACCCATGGGGAGGGATGATGGCAGTTATGGGCCACTAGCTGACCCACCTGAAACCCATTGGCATGGCTGTACCTTAGCCCCACACAGAATGACAATCATATCTAGGTTGGCAAGTCTCTAAACTTTAGTCAACTTCTCTTTTCCAAAATAAAAATAGGCGGAAAGCATCAACTGGGTGTCATTTCCAGTAACTCAGCATCACCAAGGCCTATGTGTCATTTGACAAATGCTCTTAGTGGGAAGCAAAGTTTTTATGGGTGCAGTTTGAGGTCCCCAGTTTCTTTTCTCTACGGCAAGACTAAACATAGGGGATACAGACAAATTATTACTACAAACCAGATTCTTCTTCTAATTGCTCTAGAGCAGAGGTCTCGAACTCGCGGCCCGCGGGCCAATTGCCGAGACGGGCGGGGCACGGAGGAGGGGCCCTGCGGCCTTCCAAGCGCCGGCGGCACCCGGGCCGGCCTCCGGGAGCGAGGCGGGATGAGCGGCCCACCACCACCGTGGTGGTGGAATACTTGATGCGGCCCAGCCTCACCCAGACTCTACTTCCAGCGGCCCCCAGGTCAGTTGAGTTTGAGACCCCTGCTCTAGAGATTCCAGTGCAACTGCTCTTTCATGATGAGAACCCTGCTAGACTGCAGGCCCCACTATGCCCTCTGCAAATAATCACCACGAGAAGCAAAGCAGAAAGAGAACTTACTTCCGTCATCCAGGGGCCTTTTTACTCCGTAGCCGTAGACTGAGGGGTCCACAAGTGGTGTGGAATTGTTCAAGTGAGGAATCTCTCCAATTTTAGCAGCCATTTGCTAGAAGGGGAAAAATGGGAGAAACATTAGCATGGCTGTTACTCAATTAACTCTGCAGCTAGCAAGGGACGGATTTTCTAGCACAAATAAGGAGTTCCCAACATTCTTCCAAAGATTGACTGACTGACTGGCTTTACATACCACCCCAATAGCCCAGAGGGCTCTCTGGGCAGTTTACAAACATTAAAACCCCACCAATCCTAAAATAAATAAACTGGCTACACCACGACTGAGTATAAAATAGCATGGCTAAAATGAATTAATTAATTTAATGGTATATTTATTTATTCAACTTTAAAATATTGGGTGAATAAAAAGGTCTTGACCTGGTGCCAAAAAGCATAGAATGACGGTGCCAGGCGGACCTCTCTAGGGAGCACATTGCATAGTCTAATACCAACACAGCCTTTCCCAACTTGGGATCCTCCAAAGCTTTGGGCCTTCAACTCCCACTATTCCATTGGCAGGGATGATGGAAGTCTGAGTACAAAACTTTTTGAAAGAATTAGACTGGGAGAGCAGGCTGCAGTGTGACTAAGATTTGGAATCCAGGATGCAGCTAGACAGAAGTGGTGAGGCCAAGCCGGGAGCAGATGGATTGCCAAAGATCAGGCCAGCCACAGAGGAGATTCAGCACTTACCTTCATGGTAGCCAAGGGCAACCATTTTCTTTCTCCCGTATAACTGAATGGTTGCACCTCTTTCCACTAAACTCAAGATCTGAGGTCCCTTTCAGGGCCTTTTCACAGAGAAGTCTGGACGAAGGCAACAAGGTCCTCCTCATACCACTTGTGGAATGGTTTTGCTGGGCATCAACAGGGTCATCTTTTCAGTGGAGGGTTAAGGGTTAAGACTTCCCTCGGCTCCCTGACATGTTAGGAGGGGCAGACTGGTGTTTGTTTTATTGGTGACTAGTAGTTCTAGTGTCAAACTGTTTTTTAAAGGCTGCAAACTTTTTAAAAGAAGTTTGCATGCGAAAGGTTTTTGAAATTATCCTTCCACATGCTGCCTCGGGAGTTTTAGACTCTCCCTGTCTAGTTTCTCCACACCACCCATCATTCTGTACACCCCTATCAACCCCAACAGAGATGAATCAGGCACCTGGAGATGTGCTAGATGCCAAGTGCTATGGCTACATTTTTAGGCCTGTGGGTAACTAAACAGCTGGGATTTTTTCCATTTCTGAAGGAGAGACTTATCATGGTAATATTTACTGTTTCTACACCAGCTTTCTGCCATTACGGCATACACACAAAGAAAGCAATAACTTAAGGCACAATGAAGACCTGCTGTGCTGCCCAGCACCCTAACCCACTAAAACTCCATATATTTTTTGTGCAAGAATCAAGCAAGCAAGTTTTGGATCCTGATCATCTGCAAATAACCAAACACACAAAACAGGCCCCTCTTGAAAAGGAGCAAAGCCATGCATGGCATTCTCTACAAGCACCAAATTTTAAATGCAGTACCTCTTGCCTAAGTTACACCCGGGGGGGGGGGGGTAGAGGCAAGAGAGCTGTTTTTGACTGTTTGTTAAGCAGGGAGGAAAAAGACAACCAGTCTTATCGGTTCAGATGACCCTGAGAATTGTAAACGCTCTTGCTTCTGTCCCTCTGCACTTTGCAGGTCAGTGTGCTTTTTGTTGAATATAGCAAAACGAGCTGAACTTTCACAGGGGAAACTTTGAAAACTAAACACCCAGGTGCTGGACCTTCTGCAAATGCAGCCAGATTGGGGGCTTTTCTGCCGCTGCTGTGTGGTATCGGAGAGCCTTCCACAACAGGTCTGTCTCTTCAGGCATTCGGTTATCAGGTTAAGAACAGTGTTGCTCCTTGACCATCAATTCCCTCTAGCCTGGCCTCTCCTATGACTGTCCAACTGCCCCAAGAAATTAGCATCACCTAGCAGGGACATGCTCATCCCATGAAGTTGCTAACCTGTCAAGGAAACCAGCGCTCCCAGCATTTTTTAAACTCCCCCGGAACTCTTTGCTCCTGCAAGGCTGTTTTATACCCAATACTGCATTTGCAGATTTATTAGCTGGCTCTTGGTTAACTTTATCATGACCTCCTTTGGATTCTCATCACCACTACAATTATCGTAAATGCCCTATGTAAAGCAACAAAGTGAGGGAACGCTTCAGAGAAAGCACAGGTTGCTCAAAAGGTACCAGGAATCTCTCCAAGCATTTCTTTTAACTGGGGCAGCAGCAGCAGCAGATGCTTCACTGAAGCTTCGTGTAACATTTGGTGGAGCTACTGGGAGAAATCCAGTGAGGTTGCTCTAGTGGGTGGGACCAAACACCCTGGGATTTCTGTTTGGTGTACACCCACAGGAGAGTGGACTAATTTTTATGCAAAGGTTGTCAAGAGGGTGGTGCATATATGGTTAATAAGTTTTAACAGGGCATGTCTCTTGCAGTTTTAAGTGCTGGAAAAGTAAAGTTCAGAACTGTTTGAACAGACGGAGGGGCTTGGCATGGCTTAAGTCTCCAAGCCTTGCCATTCCCTGTCTACAGCTTGCTCGCAGCTGTCCAGCAAATGTTTAAATCCCACTTATGTAATGCAATGCCCTTGCAGCATGAGAAAAGGAGAGCCCAGTAGTGGCTAGCACAATCCAGGGCAAAGTTGGGTGACTCGCCAGGGGGTGGCAGGCAGGGAGAGTACATAATCGGAGCCAGGGTTGGGACCAGTAAAAATAAAAGGACGTAACTTGAGGAGCAAGTCCAAAACGCTACCACGTCCACAGAGATCACACAAACACCCCTGCACTTGAAATCAACAAGAACAGCATTGTGCAAGCTTGTTATTGACCCAGTCTTATGTCAGCTAACCCACTTATCTGAAACTTACGGTGCGGGAGGAAGCGAATGAGCAAAAAGGGTAGGAGGAACTGGGCAGCTCTCACAACAGAGGGGTGGTTTTCTTAGAAATCTCTTTTGAGACCAGAACTATTTAAATTGTTTGAAAATCATCCAGGGTTAGGGATAAGCTGCGAGGTAACCAAATTCATGGCCACAACAAGTTGAGGATGGTGCGAATCCCAAGTGTGAGGGGCTCTAAGGCTCACCTTCAACAAAATGATCAAGGACGCGTCACAGGAAGAAACTTTTTTTTTGAGCTAGTAACTTTGGTCAACTTAAGGCTAGGTATCTCTAATGTGTGAGGCTGTCTATCCACCCCCACACACACCATATGTACGTACACACACACACACACACACAATTTTATTTCTGTTTCATTTTAAGCTGTTTCATGAAATCACAAAGCACTACTACGAAGAACAAATACTGATCCGTTCCATGCACTGTAAACCTCTCTGTTACTTGGCTTGCCCTCTCCATTAAGCTGCATGACCTAACTTCTCTCCTGCCGCTGAGATGTCCTGGAATGATAGGCATCTGAACAGGAACATGGGAAGGAGGTATGGCGGAGAGGAATCCGGAAATGGCACTCAAGTGGTTACTACAGCAACCAGAAGCCTTCGTAAATGTGCACAGGCCGAATTCTGAGCTACAGGGCCGTCCAATCCCACAGGTGCTTTACACACGTGGAAGCCTGCTGACACACCTGGATTTCCTGAACTGGATCAGGACACGTCTCCTTTCAGAAACGGGTACCTTGACAGGACAAACGCGCCCTGTCCTTGAGCTGTAATGGGCAATGCAGCTTTGGATAAGGGTAAATATTTTAGCACATGCAACATCGAAACATGCAGGCCCGAGTCTGCTATGCAAGCTGACCTGGAAGTAACGCCAAGCCGTTGCGAAATTCATACCATGTTTACTTGTTGTGTTCTGATACACTAGCCATTCATACTCAGCCTTCAGACCCCATACCTGTCACTTTTCACAGTGCCTTTTGTGCCTCCTTCCAAGAAAAAACTCCCCAGAGGAGTGCACAGAACATCAGCTATGACACTCAGAAGCAAGCATTCACTGAATTTATTTCTAAGAGGAGGTCCTGCTTGCCAGGAACCAGCATGATGAGCACAAACTTGTTGCTCTCTCCAATGCTGGAAAGAGTGCAGGCAGTCAAGAGTCTACACTGAATTAAATTATTTACAAAGGCCTATAGTCAAAAATATTTTGAAGCAAACGCATTAGATCAGGTATGCAAAACCTCTGGCTAGAGCCCCGGTCTAGATCTCTTAGAATTCCCTGGCTTTCCTCCCCGCCCGCCCCATCCTAAAAGGCTGAACTGCCCAGTCTGAAGCTCACTTCATGGCAGTAGGAACTTTAATCTACAACACGCTTGAGCTTTTGACCTGCCCCTCTCACCTCTGACCCTGTTCACTGCTGGAATGCAGCCAGAGGTTCAACATCCCTCTATTAGATATGTCCAAATCCAACAATGGCCGGTTTCGGCCGATGCCGGGTTCTTACAGAGGCACACCATTCCATGTACAATCATAACTTGCAGCGTACACAAGAAGACTTCACTGTGTTTTACATGCATGCTTTTATTAAGAAAATCAAGTCTAATACTCCCTACAAGACTAGAGGGTGATTTAGGCTGACAAGAAGATGAAAGATCATATAGAAAAGGCGGCTGAAAAAGAAGATAGATATATATGGCTTTTTTCTTTTTAAAGACACTCAAAGTCCTAGAGAAGAAAAGGCAACACAGAAATTCAATTATTGAAGATCTAGTTCAGAGACCTAAACGCCATGCAGACATCCCTCAGTGGGTGTGCTGCGCTCTTCCCAAGCACCTCCAAAGTACACAGTATAGCCAAGGCACAGGCATTCCCTCAGATGGGGAGATGGAGAACCACCATTCATACTGTGGGGGGGGGGGGGGGTCCCATTCAAAAGCACTGGATGGGCTAGATTGGAGGAGAAAGCAGTGGCTCTAATGCCCACCAAGAGAACAAGTCTTGACCCACACCCCCATCCTCTGTTCCCACTAGATGGTCAGTGCATTTCCTAGGACCCAGCTTCCCCCACCAAGGAAGGCTCCAGCAAAGCCACCATGATGCATGATGGAGCCACTGGGGAGGGCACCAGATGAGCACCTGTCCCCTCCCCCCTGCATCTCCCATCCTTTTCTCCCTGCAGAATGCCTGTATGCAGGGAACCCCTGCTGCTTCCTGAGCCCTTATCAGAGTTCACAGCAGGGATTCCTACAGGCAGTGTGGCTTTGAGACAGAGTCTCTCCAGCCTCACAGGAATTCAGAAAGGCTCCACAGGCCAGAGAGGGAACTGCTGCAGATTAAAACAGGTCTGTGGAGCACAGGCTCCCTTCCCAGGCTTCCTGCAATGGACCTGACGTGTGACCAGAAACTCTAGCAGCAGAAAGAATGGGTCCAGAGTAGTGAGGAAGGGATATTCTACAACCTGTTCCATCCTTTTTGCAAACTGCCAGGCCTCTTGGCTTGCAATCAAAGGGGATTTCGTGTATGAGAACTGTGTTCACTTGTGTTTGAGCTTATTGGTTGCGTTATTTATGCCCCTCCTTACTTCGTTTTGCAAAATACCCAACACAACTTACAAGGTTCTCCTCCTCTCCATTTAATCCTCACAACTGCCACCCTGCTAGGGAGGTTAGGCTACAGTTAACCAGTTAGCTCCATGGCCAAGTAGGGACGAGAATCTGGATCTTCCAAGGCTCAGTCCAATACTCGGCAATACCACATTGGCTCTCCCTCACCGAGCAGCAGAAGCCTGACCCACAAGCCCACACGACTCAGAAAATTGGTTTGCTACAGAACCTGCAGGTGGAATTCACGGAAATTCAATCTCAATTGAATCTGTGACAGATTTCACTGGAGTCAGACTATTCCCAGTCCTGAACAGCACACTAAGCCTGAGAACCTGTCCGAGCTTTCTATGTACCACTGCATGTCAGCCCTCCAGCAGCACCTTCTTTTTCCCCATGCACTATCAAGGGAAGAAGAATCTGAGTGCTGAAAACTAGAAGCTTGAGCTGTTCTGATGACACTCAGGGAAGGATGAAATGGGGATCTGCTGGTGACTGTAACACCTGTCAAACACAATGACTTCTAAAGTCACTGTACCTTGATCATGTTCTAGGAAGGTCTATATAGGCCAAACTTGTCCCAGAGCAGAGTTCAGTTAAGAATAATTTAATAGGGAAAGCATCTTAACTGGAGCTGCTAGAAAACAGAACCAACACACAAGGACATTTGGCCCACTAAACCACACAAGAATGAACTGAGACAAATGAGAACCACAACAGTTTAGGAGTTCCAGGATGACTAGACAGTACCATAACATTCCTTTTAAAATAAAAATATACCCCCAGGAGAAGGAAACCTTTTGGGGCCTGTTGGAACCTTTGGCTATTTGAGAAACTTTTGTGGATGCTACCACAAAATGGCTGCCACCAGATGTGTAGTTAGTTACCTGTGCAAAAAGACTGGCTTAGTTTGCACATAACAAGCTGCTGCCTTGGATGACTTCCTGCACAGGGTATCTGTCACAGCAGCAGATGCCCTGTTGAATATTTCAGCTGTGATGAGGATGGGCCATAGCTTACTGCGAGAAACAGTGAGAATGTGTTGATGGGGTGGTTCACAAGCCACCCGGAGCCCTAGAACTGTCCACGGGCTCCGGGTGGCTTGTCCCATCTGCTATGGGTGTGCACAACAAGCTGCAGTGTGTCCCCACCACGGGTCAAGAGTTCAAAAGGATGGTGCTGCCACTGCGCTTCACATGAACTCCGAGTGGTGCAAACTTACAGAACAGACTGCTTCTGGCCATCCTCCAGCTCATGGAGCCCAGGTAGGAGAAGCAATTATCCTTGACCAGCGCTGGAAGCCCTGGGGAAGGGGGCCGAGTCTTGACAACCAACACCTTGAGCCTGGCTAGCAGGGCCAATAAACACATGTGAGCTCCTAGTTACAGAATCACACAACTTTTTTATGCCTTCAAAGTCAAGTCATGGCACCCAAGCAATGAAGCCAGGATCCTTCCAGAGTGGTCAAACACATCCGGCTGCCCTTCTGCTACCTGCGGCAAGGTGTGGTTGACTGGCTCACTGTGGAGGATGCCAGGAGGGAAGTGAGGTGGGCAAAAACAACCAGGCTAAAATCTTGGAGGCTCATCTTCCCAGTCTTCTATACAAAAATGCATGAAGCAGCTTTCAGAGGACCAGACCATCCCGGAAAATGAAACAGCACTCCTGCAAGTGTGAAACAACCAAAGGGCAGTTAAAGTAAGTAGGCACTATACCAGGAAGGGGTATATCTGATCTGATCTGGGGTCCCACAAGGGACAGAGGCTTGCCCCTCTTGCAATCCAAATGCTGGGCTACTTGGCATGGTTTCCAAGAAGGTAAGCCAGGAACTGCAGCACCCTTAGTTTAGGGGTTAATCCAGCCAAGATCATTCCCATATCACTGTAAGGGGATCAAGGCTGACAAACAGTGGCTTGCCCAGGTCAAACCCATAACCAAGGTGAGAGGAACTTGCACCCAAGTTTCTGAGAACCAAGCAATGCATACAACCATTCGCTCTATACTGATAAAGCAAGTGCTTTATCAGGTTTCAGTCTCTGGCTTTTTCAGCAAAAATATCTCAGGTTGCAGGTCTCCCTAAAGTCTCAGCTGAGACCTTAAAGAGCTGTAGCTCATATCACCTCTATGTGCCAGCAGCCTTAGACAGCTCTGCGGGGCATTACAGAACAATAGTGCGTTCAGCCTAAACTCTCCTTTCAACTAGAATTCCCTGCCAGGATAGTTGGTGACATACAAATGCAATAAATAAATAAAAATGCGGCTGCTGCACAGCATCTCCATGGCAGACGTGCAGCAAAAAGTGCAAGCGGCAGCAGAAAGAATAGGGTGGCTAGACAAATTCAAGAAGGGAAATGCTATTAGCCAAGATAGCTATATATTACCCCCAGTATCTTAGACAGGGTGTCACTGAATACAAACTGCAGGGGAAAAAGGAGTGGGGGTGTCTCTGTTGCTCATATTCCACTCCTTTGGTTTCTGTGGCAAAAAAACGCTCAACTATATCAGCACTGGGTGTGTTCCAGCATATAGCAAAATACTTATTTTTGAGGGTATTTGCATGAACAGAATAATACAGCTAATACTTTGGGATCTGGCCTTACGTTACAGGCAAAATGCACACCAGGGATAGTCACACACCCAGATTGCCTTAACTCCATGTGCCTACTTACTTCTCCGGAGTCAAAACGAGGTCTTCCAAGAGCTTCTACAGAAATTCATGGTGAGGCTAAACTGGAATCTTGTAGACAACAGGGAAGGGGCTATGGCCTTCCATATGTTACTCAACAACAACATCTGTTATGCCAAATTGTTGACTATACTGGCCAGGGCTGATGGGAGGTGAAGCTGAATGACATATGAAAGAATGTAGATCCCCCATCCAGTTCTGGCTGGTCTATTTCAAATATGATAAAACTGAAGAAAATGCAGAAACAAACATTCCAAATGGCCAACGGACTGGTGCAAATCTACTGAGGAACAGTAAGTTTTTAAAAGGTTGTTCACTTACAAAAAAGATGAGTAGGGAGGGAGATGGCAGCTGTTCATACAATTGTACATGATATAGAAAAAGAGAATAACTTAGGAAACTCTGATTAAGCCACATAGTAGTTAGGCACAAAGAAAGTTAGGCACATCTTCTAAGAAACAGTTAGGGAATTTTACTGCACCAGGTAGTGACAGCTACTAGCCTGCATGGCTTGCAAAGTGTATTGGACAAGTTCACGGAAGAGCTGAGAACTGTCAAAAGCTATCAGGGCTCTCTATGGTTTGAATGCCAGCATATACTTTCCAATTAAGCAAAACAGCTGACAAAAGCTATTGCCCTCCGGTTTAGTTTGTAAATTCTGGTGGAGAATCTGGCTGGCAGCTGGGTGGGGTGGAATGGTTCTGCCAGACTAGACAACTGCTTGGTCCTGTCTTGGCTTCTTATTAAAACAAATCAATATTCCTGTACAAAGTCTACTTGACAATACCAGATGAAAGGTGAGCAGAGCAACAGGAGAGAAGATCGCGGCCTTCACACTCTACATAGGGGGCTTCTGGTTGGTCACCAGCTGGGAAGGAGGGAAAAGAAACAGATGCTGGGCTAGAACTCATCCTCATCCTGCAGTGTTCCTACTGTTATTTTATTTATAACTGTTATTTAAAACTGTTATTTTATTTATTACTGTTATATTGATGATTATAGAATGCTACAATATTTTATATTTATTGTTATATAACAGAACTCAGAAGACAGAGAACAGCCGATGTGGTAAACTTGGCAGGACATGACTGGGGAGACCTGGGTTCAAGTCCCCTGTCATAAAGCTCGCTCGGGTCACTTTGGGTCTGCTGCTCTCTCTCAGCCTAGCCTCCCTTCACGGGGCTCTTGAGAAGATAAAAGGGAGAGGAAGAGGAGAACCACCACCACGAACATTGCCTTGGAATCTCTGGATAAAAAGCCAGGATATAAAAGCAACAAACATACAAAATGAATAAATAGAAAAGAGCGTGCAAAGGTGGCTAAGTGCATTTGACTAGATTCACATCTGCATCCTCACTTGGCATGAAGCATCCTGGATATCGTAATGCCAGTGATTGCTCTTGGCTCAATCTACCAAACAAGCCTGTTGGGAAGATAGCAGAGAATAGGCCTCCGTAAGTTTTACCGGGTTTCTTGCATGAAAAATGGCAGGATACGAGGAGATTTATTTAATATAAAAGAGTTCTAACACCCACTTGGTCATGAAACTCGCTTCGTATCTCAGGACCAAACCCTGCTTCTCAGCCTAACCTACTCACAGGGTTGTTCCGAGGATAACCCAGAAGGTGGATTGCAGAAGCCACCGGCGAAATTCCCTGCTCTACGAAGTTAAGCAGTACATAAAAACAAACAAACAAACAGGCAGTTTTTTTCCTTTTAAAGGAGTGCCAGGCTGGCCTCTCCCAAGTCCAGGGGTGGGCTACCCGGGGCCCCGCCTACGTTTCGGCCTACAACTCCCATCCACCCTAGGCAGCGGCAGGGGACGAAGGGAACAGTGGCTGCTCCGTAAGCCGCTGGCCTGGGAGCGGCCCACCCCTTTCCCGCCCTCCTCTGGAAGATGCCCGAGGCGGCCTTCCGCTGCCGAGCAGCCTCCCGGCCGGGCCTGGACCCAGCCCGCCTCCTGTCAAGCGCAGCCAAGGCCGGGCCGGGCCCGCGGCCTCCAGCCGCTCGCCGCTTACCTGGCGGG